ACTTTTACATCAACAGCGTGGTATCAAAACTCACATCAGGGTCAATGTTCTTCGCGGCCTGGGCAAAGACCTCCCGGGTATTCTTGGTCCAGTGGGGACGGCAGGGGAACTCGTCAATGAGCACCTTGGCAAGGTTGTGATCTCATCCAGACCCAGTCAGTTCATCGTTTCTCCTTCACCGAGAAGCCGTGGTGAACAGAGCACCTCGCCGGAGGAAACAACTCACAGAACGGCTCGTTAAACCTGCTGTGATCCCCAACAGTCGGCCTAAACGTCGGGAAATCAAGCATGATCACCCCCTTACTCCAATCCGCCCCATCAGCAGTCCCATACGTAACCTGCCCCAACAGATCAAAATACGGCCTCCCAAACTTGATGTTGATCCCACTCCGGTACGTCGACGTCATGACAATCAACTTCTTGGCCTCGTCGTCAAACAGCGCCCTCACTCGCTTCAGCATGGCGTTCGCCTGCGTGATCGGGAACGCCAGCTCGAGCGTGTATCCCTGGACGCCGACCTCCCACAGCGGCCTCTGGTCCGGGTACAGCCCGCCGATGAGCACGTCGTAGTTCCAGCCGTAGACAGGCCACTCCTCGATGGGCTGGTTCGTCGTCTTTTCGCGAAAGTTGGGTTTCGACCAGAGGCCGAAGAAGATTTCTTCGGCGAGCATGTTGGAGGTGGGGAGGTAGCGGCCGCTGTCGAGGAGGGTGCGGGCCGTGGTGCCCTCGAGATCCGTGACGGAGAAGGTGTTTTGGAAGCCTTGCTGGTCAGAGGTGTTTGTGGGGACGACATCGTAGTAGCGGTGGTGGAATTTGCGCTTGTAGGGCCACCACTGCGTTGGGTCATTAGTTCATGGGAGATTCTTGAGGAGAAGGATTGCGAAGGTGAAGTAGACGTACCCAGAAGTTGGCCGTTGCATAAGGTGCAATCATGCCGTAGATGTCGCCGTCGAGGACCTCGCTTTCTTCGAGCCTTTTCCACTATCGTTAGCTCGTTCAAGCTCACCAGCCTCATGAGAAACTCACGTCTTCTGCTGAGCATAAACCTTGAAGTCGGGGTAAATTTTGAACTTCATCCGCACAATAACACCCAGCAATCCAAGAGAAGTCGACGCAGCAAGCCACGTATCGTCATTATTGTCCCGCACAAGGTGCCTCAGCTCTCCGTTCCCATCAACGATGTCCAACTCGAGCACGCCCGCCGCAACCATGGAATCCTCCCGAATCGAAGACCGATGCGCTCCCATGGCAACACAACCCGCCAGCGTGATATTCCAATTCACAAGCGTGTAACCCGCCGACGCGCCCCTAGCATGCAGATATTCAGCCAGCTGCAAAAACGTCACGCCGGCCTCAATTACCACGCTCCCGCTCTCGAGATCAAACTCGGAGATGCTGTTGACGTCCTCGGTGCGGATGATGACCGTGTTGGCGTCGTCAGAGCACATTGTGTCGTACCACATGTGGCCCTTACCAGAGGCGCGGACTTTCTGGCCTGAGGCGATGGCGTCCTTGACGAGGGACTGGATGTCGGATACGCTGGTTGCGTTGTGGACTGCGGCGACATCGTTGCAGGCGGGGAAGCCTGGGCCGTCAAAGGTGTTGTAAGGGGCTGCGGTGACGGCGGTCGATGCGAGCAGCATTGCCAGGAGGGGGAGGGGGCGTAGAGACGGCATTGTCGTCAGGGGACCTTGATCGGCCCGTGTTGGAGGCAAGGAGTAAAAGGACACAAGCTTCTGGTACTTGCCAAGGGGTGCGAGAGCCTCAGAACCTGCTCGTAGGATGGGATGAACCTGTCGTTTACTTATAACAACAACCTCTTCATCACTATCTACACTGCTTCATCTACATAAGGACTGATAGACTACACACCCAAACTCTCCATCAGAATGAATGCCGCGGACCTCGAGCAAGCTTTCATGTGATGCCGGGAGAGAGTCACTTCTCTCAATGAAAAACCTGGTTCAATGGCAGGTCTAACGTCACCCAGGTCACCCAGATCACCAGGCCAGGAACAGAGAGTTGTATCGCAGTTACACCACCTCGATGGAAAAGCTTCTCGCGTACCATAAGAGGAAGTAAGAACATTGAATGGAGGGAAGCCAAGACGGTGACAGATCCCGATCAGATACATGGTCCGATATGTAATGTAACCCAATGGGCCGGTTGGGGTGCCGGGAAGGTGACAGCAGAGAGCGCGGGGAAGGCTGGGAATAGCGACGGTAGAGACGGAGATCTTCATTTCTCCTCTCACTCGCATGCCCGTGTGATGCGCAGGGAAGAGAGTGTGCGGGGTGACAGCGGCACAGCGGATACGACGCCCCATATGGAGGGGACCTGCCAAGGGGAAGTGGAAGAGGAGGAGTCGAACTTGAGCAAAGCCAGCTATCAAGCATTCTACCATCACCGTCTGATGGACTAGTAGGTCTGGAGTCAGGTTTGGCTTTTTATGCATATATTCTGGCATCTGACTGCTAGTGGTAGTTGAGTAGTGATGTGCAAGGGGTCGGGTGGAGGGTGTTATTGGTGATTGGTGGGCTGGCCGTCTAGTCCGGACGGAATGCCATGCTCAGGGCGGGGAAGTCGGGTCGGAGAAGCGGGGCAGTCAACGGCCGAATCACTCCCGTAGCGCAGAATGGATTGGACACCAAATGGCAGAATGTAACATGGGCAAGAAAAGACCATCTGGCAGAAGGGTCCAACAATTGTTGGGAGATCAGGGCGAGGCAGGCAAGGCGACGGCATCACTGCCCTTAACACAACTAGCGGATGTTCGTATAAGCTTCATGAGACGCAAGGGAATTCTTAGAAAAGGTATGATAGTAGTTCCAGAACGGAACAGCAAACGATGCCGCGGACGTTGGTGCCACTGTGGGATCTCGTGTATAGACAAGGGCAATTCAAGCCGTCTTTCGTAGCATCTCTCTCCTCCCACTTCACGTCACTGTAAAGTTTTACATGATATGTCAACAACATCAACTTGTGAGCGAGTTCACGCAGCATCAATCTCGCAATCAAGGAGCATAGCCTGAAAGCAAGTGCGTGCTTCTCAGATTTCGCAAAGAGAATCAATATTGGTACAGAGTGTTCACATTTCGTCTCTGGCCTTGGCTCATATAGTATATGAAATTCTGGAGCCGAAAATGGGTATTTCGCAGATGCACACACACATTCTGCCACCTGCCTAGGGACATCACCCTAGTAGAGAGCTGAATACTCACTATCTAGATTTGGGTACGAAGCCATCAACTCGCTGATTTCAAAAAGAAAACTAGGCGAACGCGTCTCGATCGTGCGCCCGACGACGTGCACTACGCCTCGCCAGATTATCCCTTGCCCGTACGGTACGTCAAGGCCGCGTTGTTCGGGACTTGTCCCTTACGAACTGACCCGCATCAAAATAGAGTGTCAAGTTCAACTGTACGCATGTCTTCTATTGAAGCCTCCCAAAAGCAAAAGCTCCGCAGAAACCAAGCGAAGACGGGAACACCTTGCAACCAGTTGAGCAAGCCCGCCACAGAAAAAATCTCAAAGTCATTCCGTTAGCGAGGGGCGGTCAGAGGGAGCAGTAAAGAATATCTAGCTTCTCTCAAAATAGAGAACCTTTCTCAAACTGTAGCTCTATAGAATGCATGTGTTCTTTTTGCGAGAAATAGAAGTCCCAAGAGAGTGGCCGTACGACGTTTTCCTGTATAAAGACCCACTGTTTGGGATCCAAGTTGAATTCACCTGGGCAACCTGAGCATCTCCCCTCTGGCGAGAGCGAACAGCTCCTGGGGATCGACCCGCTCGCCGTACACGTCTCTGGGCGAAAGAAGGCTGTTCAAGCTGCCTTGGAGCCTGAACAGATCTGTGTACCGTCTAGGCTGAGCTCGAAAAACAGCTCCTCTTCTATCATCGCCGCGAGACGCATGGTAGGTATTCTCTATGGAATACTCCAAAACTAGCAAAGAGCACTCTTACGCAGAAAATAGAACAACAAAGTGCTCTCTTCCAAAAGCCCCTATCTAATATCATTCTCTGAGTGATATTACACTCCTTCCATGATCAAAAACCAAGACATTTCCTCAATCCACGACAGCAAATGAACAATGAATTGCTCGTGTTCCAAACCAAAACTTCGCATTTCCAATATGCTTTTATACTTTCTCGAAGCCAGCCAACCCCAAGCAACTAGACCCAAGGCCAGAAAACGACCAATAACAAAACACCGCGCCCATCTGCTCCCATTGCTACCTTTTCACAAACAAGACGTCCTCGTACCGCATGCTCAGCCCCGGTTCACATGGTCCTCAGTGAAGTAGCATCATCCCAAAAGTCAATACCCATAAACTCAAACCACGCACAGCAAACCACGTAACATCACATGCCTTACCGTTCTAGTGAGTAATGTATACCAGGACGGCAAAATGACATGGCATTCCCTCAACTCTTCTACGGCCGAACCATGCGTAACCCTGATGACCAAGACAGGAGGGAAAACCTTTGCCTTAAAATACCTCAGTCGAGACAACCTCATGCTCCTCAGCGCTTTGGAAGTGACACTGATGTCAAACTCGTTCCTGAGATACAGTCCTGACGAGAGGCTCATCGCCGTGGTGACAACTTGGCGGAGGCAGGTCTCACAAAAAAAGGCAGTTGACCAAAGCCCTGCACAGAGAGAAGCCTTGGAGAAAATGAGCCTAGACATCACTCAATGGCGTGTACGTAGCGGTTAAGTTGGAAGTGGACGGCGGCATGATGAAACGTTTGGGTCCTAAATCATCTATTCTCCTAAACCAAGTCCGACAAAAGAAGACAAAATAAACTACAAAACATCTCCTACATTACCCAGTGATACAGTTCGTACAAGTCGTAACTGTTCTCTTTCCCCCATGCTATTTAGAAACAAATTTCACACAAATCCCATAAGCTGCGGGAAACAACTCCCTAGTCTATATGTGAACCGTACATGTATCTTATGCCAATGACTTCATGATTTGATGCTGGAAAAGTCACGCTCAGACGGTAGCCGTGGGCAAGGCAGGGAGCAGCGACGTCTGTCCAATGAACCAGGATCGGGTAACGACGTAGCAAACTTCGCCACCAGGCAGAGGAGCACCAGCCGTGTACAGACCGGGAGGCAGAGTGAGAGTGCCTGCAATGTTGGGGCCAGTGCTGGTGGGGACCGGCGCACCAGTGATGGTGGTGCCAGGCTCGGTGATGGTGTTGACGACGGTGACGGATGCGGTAGTACCGGCGCCAGTGCTAACGCTGATGCTGGTGACGGTGGAGACAACCGGCGGGGAGACGTCGAGACGGACGTAGACGGTGAGACGGACATCAGTCGGGATCTGGCGACGGGCCAGACGCACGGAAGAGGCGCGACCACCGCAGCGCTGGGCAGGGTTACCAGGGCAGACAGTGTTGCACTGGGCCTCGGGAACGAGGATGGTGAGAGTGTTGTCGATGATGTCACCACAGTAGCAGTCGTTGCCAAACAAGCCAGCCAGTCTGGAGCTGGCGGGGCAGGCAGCGGTACACTTCTCGAGGGTCAACAACGGGTCAGACAAGGCCAGAACAAACGAGGGGAAGTTGCTGGACGAGGCGAAGCATCCCAGAAGAGAGAAGCCATCAACAGCGACAGGGTTGGGAGCAATGCTGGAGGTGGCTGCAGCAGCGGTGCTGTCGGTTGTCGAGCCGCCGGCAGGACCAGTGGTAGGGCTGACGATGGTAGATCCACCAGTGACAACGGTAGAACCTCCGGTAACGAAGGTAGAGCCGCCGGAAACGAACGTGGAGCTGCCCGAGACGATGGTAGAGCCACCAGAGACAACAGTGGAACCGCCGGTGACGAAGGTCGAGCCACCGCTGACAAAGGTAGATCCAGCGGTGGGAGCGGTAGTGGTGCCACTTCCAGAGCGGGTGGTGGCGAGGCTGGAGGTAGCCGTCGATCCGGGGTTGGCAGTAGAAGTAGTCGAAACAGCGCCGGGAGTGGTGGTGGCAGAGTTGGTAGCGGCGGTGGAAGCGGGAAGGCTGGTAGTGCTGCCGCTGGCCGTGCAGGAAGAACCTAGAAGAGAATGTTAACAGCAAGATCGTCAAATATCTGAGGCCTGACTTACGAGGAGTGGCGCTCAGGGTGACCGGGGTACAGTTAGGCGGGACGGTAGTTCCGAAGGTAGCGTAAACTTGACCGCTGTTGTCCTGGCAAAAACCGGCCTGTCCTCCAGAGAAGGCTGCGTTGGACCATGTGAAGACACCGTTGTTGTTGGTGAAGGTGGCGGTGATCGATCCAGTGCTGCCAGCGCGCAGAGCAATGAAAGGAGTGTTGGGGTTAACACCGAGGGCAACACCATCAACAGTAATGGTGCCAGAAGCGCCGATTCTGAATACAGCAGCCTGGTTGCAGTTGGTAGGGTTGGTCTGTCCAGTGGTACCGACGTAGGTGGTTGCGCCGCTCTGGCGGTTCATGAGGTGCGCCATGATAGGGCCACGCTTCCTCATGGTAAGAGCAGTGGTGGAGTTCGAGAACGGTGCGCTAGTGGAGCTGCTGGTGGAAGCAGAGCTGGTAATGGACAAGCTGGTAGAAGTATCCGTAGTGCTAGCAGAGGTGGTTGATCCAGAAGAGCTGGAGCTGGAGCCAGTGGAGGTAGATCCGGAAGAGGTGCTACCCGAGGAAGAGCTGCCAGAGGAGCTGCTGCTGGAAGTACGAGAAGAGCTTGAGCCAGTAGAACTGCTGCTGCCGGTAGAAGAGCTTGAAGACGAGGCAGCTGTGCTGGAAGAGCTTGAGGAGCTGCTGGAGCTGGTAGGAGCTCTTCCGCCGACAATGGCAAGGATGAAGTCAGTCGCAGAAGCCGCGGCTGCACTGGTGACAGAGCTTGAGGCTGAGTTGGAGACTGAGTTGGAGACTGAGTTGGACGCAGAGTTGGAGGCAGAGACCGTTCCAGAGGTCGTACCGGAGACAGTACCAGTGGAAGTTCCAGAAGAGGCGGTGGAGCTGGCACTGGCGACGGAAGTTCCAGTGTTGGTAGGGACGAACTGAATGTTCGTGTCGGTGTTGACCACGGCAGAAGGAACGCTGGATGAGCTCAAAGTCGTCGAGGCAGCAGCAAGGGCAACCTGGCTGGCAGGAGTCACGCTGAGAATCGTAGCGGGATCAACAGTACCAGCCTGGCGTCTGAGGGCGCTGCGACGGCGGCTGCTCGCAGCGGCAGCGCATTGATCAGCAGGGATGAGAGGCAAAGTCCTGAGAACTGAACCGCAGAAGCATTGGCCTCTAATGACGGTAGTAAAGGGCAGAGACTGGGAAGCGCAAGCAACCGCGCAAGCAGGGGCAGTAGAGGCATCGGGAGGATTGACAGTGTTCTCGAAAGGCGACTCTCCAGCGGGAACACCTCTGCATCCCTGTGACTGGACAACAAACCTCTCAGCGTTGCCACTTGTGTTGGGAATATCAACGACAACAGCTTCGCCGGGCTGGATCTCAAGGGCCTTCGAGAAAGGCACCGGATCGGGGTTGAGGACAGCGATAGAAGACTGGCCAGGTTCGGCCGCAGATGTGGTCGGAGCAGCTGATGAAGCAGGAGCATCCGACGAGGAAGGAGCAGCAGTCGAGGAGGGAGCGGCTGCCGAAGAGCTGGCGGCGGCAGCAGAAGAGGAGCTGGCGGCGGCAGCGGATGAAGAGCTGGCAGCCGCAGCAGATGAAGAGCTAGCAGGAGCAGCAGAAGAGCTGGCAGCAGCGGCAGAAGAGGAGCTGGCAGCAGCAGATGAAGAGCTAGCAGCGGCAGATGAAGAGCTAGCAGCGGCAGCGGAGGACGACGAGCTAGCAGCAGCGACGGAAGACGAAGAGCTGGCGACAGAAGCAACCGAGGAGGATGAGCTGGCAGCAGCGACGGAAGACGACGAGCTGGAAGCAGCGACGGAAGATGACGAGCTGGAAGCAGCAACGGAAGACGACGAGCTGGAAGCAGCAACGGAAGACGACGAGCTGGAAGCACCAACAGAAGACGAAGAGCTGGAGGCAGCAGTGGTCGATGTGCTAGAACCAGCAGCAGTGGTAGAAGCGGAGCTTGAGGTGCCGGCAGCAGAGGTCGACAAGGACGACGTCAAGCTGCTGGAAGAGCCGCTGGTGCTTAGCGTACTAGAAGCGGAGCTGGACCCAGTCGAGGAGGAAGTTCCGGCAGTGGTGCTTGAGCTGGTCGAGTTTGAAGAAGCAAATGAGCCAGTGGAGGTGGTGCTTCCGCTGCTCGTGGGCGAGGTAGTCGTAGTCGACAAACTGCTGGAGCTGCTGGAGCTGCCAGAGGACGAAGAAGACGACGTAGGGCTAGTAGTGGTCGTGCTGCTTGTGGTGGTCGAGTGGCTGGAGGTGCTACTGCTGGAGCTGCTAGAGGACGAAGAGGAAGTCGACGTCGGGCTAGTGGTGGTCGCAGTGCTGCTGGAGCTGCTTGACGACGTAGTCGTGGTCGTGCCACTGCTAGAAGATGACGTCGAAGTCGTAGAAGTCGATGTGGGGCTAGAAGTAGTGGTAGTCGTCGTCGTCGTCGAGAGCGTCGATGAAGACGAAGACGAAGAGGAGGAAGATGACGAGGAAGAAGACGAAGTGGTGGTGGTAGTGGTGGTGGTGGTCAGGCTGGTGGAAGAGGAAGAAGAGCTGGAAGAGGAAGAGGTGGTTGAGGTCGTCGAAGTGGTAGTAGTACCAGCGCTGAGCATGAAGATAATTTGGTTTCTGGTAGTTGTAGTACCACCACAGTTCTCACTGCTAGCACCGCCGCAAGACGTGGCGCAAAGGTTGTTGGCGACTGCAGCATTGCCGATGGTGTCACCACAGCGGCAAGTAGTACCGCCAAAGAGTGCGAACTTCGAGATCGTAGCACCCGTGACGGCCTTACAATGGCTGTCACAGAGCTCCTGCGTCATGCTCGCATCAACGAGTTCATAGGTATTGGCGAATGTATCCGCGGGATAACAGTTGCCGTTGGCAGCAGCCTGTCCATGAGCGACTGCCGCAAAGGCGACAGTGGCCAAAACGGCCGCCTGCTTCATCCAACCCATCTTGTCGGTAATCTTCGAAGAACGACTGACGAACTACAACAAGCCAAAAGGCAAAAGTCGAGACTGGAGAGTGGTAGGGGGGAGTATTAAGACGAAAAGGATGTCAATCTCCCTAAAGAGTGACAGGCGCAAGCAAGAACCAAGCAACAAGAACGAATGACTGCCCAACTTGCCCCCGGAAGGAAAACCAGGTTGAGACGGACGAAAAGGAGAAGCGAGTGTGAGTCGAAGCGCGGTGGAGAGAAGAAAGGAAACCGATATTCTGGGAGGAGAATCTTGGCCGTATTTGAAAGCTTCTCGTCGCGAGGACCAAGAATGCTGTTCCTATCGCCTCTTGCCCACTTCCATCGATATGGGCGGCATTGGATGTCCCATCTCCCTTCCCACCTTAGGGCTGTCGGGTAAGAGAGAGAAAGAGAGAGCATGGGCTCGTTCCCAGGAACCTGGAATGTTTGAAATGACGATTCTCAGGTCCAGCCGTATGCGATGCTTTTCCCCTGAACGCCAGTCATTCCTCTCATGCAATTCAGGTCGACGTATGTGGGTGTCTGGCCTGGCTTGCCTTTTGGACGGCCGCCCCTCCCACTCCTGAGTCGAAATGGAGGAGAGAGGCAAAAGGGCGAAGAAGCGTTGGCGAGCAATGGGGCCCTGGAGCCAGGAAATCGGATGGTCTGGCGATGTCTCGCAAGAGCCGTGGCCACTTTGCACATTTCCATTCATCATTCTTCCCTCGCGGCCTTAGCGGGGATTTTCTCCTGCGGCTGAATTCAGACAATTTAACGGGGGCCGCTTGTTGCAATGTTGCGAAGCACGTTTTCGAGAACGGCGATGGCCTCTCTCGGTGTAGCCTATTGCCCCCGTCCTGTTAGCAGAAAATGTCGTTGGTGTGGGAGCTAGGATGTGTGGGACGACTAAGAGAATGCCGGCCGACCGCCATACTTTCCTCTACGTTCTTGTGCAACGGCGGGAAGAATCACTGAAGCGCGAGACGAGACACTGGCTGTACAACGTGCGGAATGTAGAGGGGGAAACAAGCCGTCGTTGATCGAGGGACGGAGGAGGCATAGCGGTCTTTACGGTGGATGCGTTACGTGCCCACACAGTTTGCCATGGGCCAACGGAGCAGATAACCCGTTGGCGAATGTATGCATGTACGTACGTGTATGTCTGCGTACAGTGTAAGCACAGCTATGCTTGCTTTGGGAGAATATAAATCAATGTCTCGTGAGGATATTGAGCAGAGAAGTCTTCCCTGGACAAGACCTTCAACACGGCATCAATATTCGGCGGTAGTTATTGTCCCTGTGCAACCAACGGCTCCCAAGTCCCCGGATCAGAACTCTTGTACGACTGGGCGTCAAGACAAGGGTTGTGGCCGAAGATGGGGGAGAGATCCGTGTCACACAAACATGTGGCCATGTCGTGCAGACTCAGAGCGGGTGAAGTGGAGGCCGGGACACGTGAAAAGAAACTTGGAAGACGCAAGCAGACACCGTAGAAAAAAAATGGACGGAACGGACGGGACACTCCGCCGGCATACCATGAGTCGAGGAATTCCAGACTCCTGGAAACTGGTTGTCCAAGGAAATGTAAGGCGTCGTGATGTTGGAATGTGGAGTGACGCTGCTGGGTGGCGACGAGTTGAGGGATATGTGAGAGGCGTCGATAACTGGTGGCCCTTGGTGGGAGTTGAGAACTTGAAGTACCTTAGCCTCTTCCCGTTCAAGGCCAAGAGGGAAAGAAAGGGTCCAATGGCACCTTTACGTCTTTGGCAAGGAGTGGGAGGAATACATGCCTTGTCCTCTCCCTGCGTAAGCCACGTTGCTTCGGCGTTGCTTCTTCCTCCTTGAAAACACCTTCTCCCTCGCACTACCAGTACCGGTACCTATTCAGACTATCGTTAGCCTCTACACCCAAATGTCGCTGCCAAGACACGATAACACTGACCTAACTGACCATATTTCTCTTTCCCTTTCCCCTCCACCCCTGTGCCATCGCGACACCTAGGCAGAAAGTCAACTGCCGTCCATCCATGCTTGTCGGGGTCGTTTCGCCCACGAGCTTGCTCACCCATATCGATGATGCATAAGAGCTCTGTGTTGCCCACGCCCCTCAATGCCAAAGTTTGATTGCAAACGATCACAGACTTCGAGAGGAACTTGATACCGGGTGCTCTAGTGCCTCTCGAGCCATGCAGATGGCGTTGCGGATCGTCGACTCTCATCTGCCGTTCTTGGAAAATCTTGTACCACCCTCAATTCCGTGCCAGACCCTGTCGATGACCGCCGATTTCGAACCCGAGCAAGGGAGACGGCACCCATTATTGTACTACGTAGGCTACGACATCGAAACGTTTCTGCTGATTCTGTCAGTATCAGCAACGGCTCACGGCGATCCCCTCATGTGACGCTTTGCCAGGTCTGAATAGCCGATTGGAGCAGGACGGACGCACTGGCACCACCAGGCCTCGATGGACAACATCTTTCTTGTCTTGAGTGACCATTTCTTCTAGCCGTAGAGGCAATACAATCCCAAACGTGATCCCGTGATAAGACGTCGACAGGTATAGTCCTAATTCCCACAAATACCTTCTCCCACGAACTAGAGGGAAAGCATCGCCTGTCCATCCTCCTCGCTACAGCGCGAATTCGTACCGCATCCGTTCTCCCCAATTTCACTACATTCCTCCCAAAGCTTCATGACAACTGCCGCTCCTTGCGTGCCTCGAATCCGCCATGTGGGTGCTGGTCGTGCGGAGTGTACCCTCAACGGATCACGCAAGCCGTGGTTCTTGCGTGCTTGCATGCTTGCGTGCATGCGTAGAGACGTCGATCAGCCCTCAAATTCAACGACACCCTTGGCATTCGTCTCGCTCCGGTTTGTGGGCTCAATGTCCACGAGCTGTCCTTCCTTGCCGCTGCCGTTGGCCCCAGCCTCGGCGTCTGCCCCGTCGAGAAGGTCACGGTCCTCGCTCCGTACACTCCGTCTCTCGATATCCGCGCTTCCGCTGGCCGTGCCTTTTCTGATGCCGATTTCGACTCCGATGTCTGCATCGTCCTCCTCGTCTTCGACGTCTCTTTGTTGCCCTGGCACAGCGTTCTTCTCCAGCTCTTTTTGAGCCTCCTCCATCCTCCGACGAACCTCTGCAGCCACACGCATTCCGTCCGTGACAATATTGTCCAGTACACCACGTAGACCACGAGTGGCCCCTTGAGCCGCAGGATTGAGAGCTACGACGGGTGCACGTCCGAAGTTGAGACTGGAAAAGGTAGTAAGGGTCGATGTGGGTGTTGACACTGTTGGTAGACCCTCGATTAGGTGAAAAGAGGTTGGGAAAGATGACTCAAAGAATTGTTCGAGAAGTTCATCGGCGAGAACAACCATTCGGAACGTTGGCAGCGTCATGTGTAACGGGTTCGCAGGGTCCAAAGCAGCGTTTGCCGCTTCTGACTCCGCCTTCGAGACACGTCGTTGTGACTGCCCTGCGGCAGTACCCTTCTCTTCAGTCGGCGAGGACAGTGAGTCCGAGAACGACTTCTTTGCCTTGCTTGGGCTACCGGGAGGTGAATCCATGGCAAGTAGGTCCTCTTCGTCATCGTCGTCGCCGATGGCGAATGCCTCGCTATTCTCCGTAGACTTGGCCTCTTCTTTTTCTTCCTCGTGGATCTTGTTGTTGGGGTGGTCGGGATCGGCATATTCGAAGCATCTTCTGATAAATGCGCTGACGCTGCCCAAGAACCTTTCATTGGTTGAGATACCAGGCAGGCTTGGCTCACTGCCTTGGCCAGTCGGCGTGCTAAGCGTGAGCGTAGAGGCACTTGGGCTCAACGTGCCCTCGAGTCCCCTTCTTGAGAGGAAAAGGAGCGCTTCGGAAATACGTAAGATGCCCTCACGATCAACTTTGCCATCGCCATCATCGTCGTAAAGTTCGAAGAAATACGTAATCGTTCCCATAATGTCCTTCTTGCCCTTGATCCTGGCAAAACCTGACACTACATCAGCTAGGGTCAACACGCCGGCTCCGCTGACATCCCATTTTTTGAACAATTGCTGCATGAACTCGTGGTCGGCAGGTTCTGGCCCCGAGCCCCATGGGGAAAGGAGACCGTTATTTTGGCGACGGCTTGTGTAGGCATTTCTGTCCTTATCGGCGAACGTGTCGCGGCGCGGTGTAGTGGGTGAGTCGGACATTGCCCACTTTGCCATGTTGGCGAGGAACTCTCTAAATGCATCGTAATCCATCAGACTAGTGCTAGCACCGAGGGCCACTCGCCCCTTTTCAACGTGTTCATCGCTGGGTTCAAACACATCTCGCGCTCTAGGCCGTGCGTTCTTTGCACGGCGCTGTTTTTCCTGCTGAATGATGCTCTCTCGCTGTTGTCTCTCGTACAAGATTGTATAGAAACGATCGTACAAGGCGCCCAGCTCCTCCGCGGCAAGGAGTTTGCTGTCGGGACCCAAATTTCGGAGGGCTGTTCTCTTTGCGAAACTCTCAATGTTGCTTAGCACGGCATCCTTGTTCTTCAACCGTAGGTCTGTGATACTGCTGTGAGTGATGCCCGAGAATTCTTTGAATGCCACCACCATCAACTCTTGAAACTTGGTTACGGCGCGCAGTTTCGGGTTCTCCGACTTGGGGTGTGCAGACTCGTCGAGACGAGCAAAGTAGCCCTTGAGAATGGAGATGAAGGCGCCGTCATCTGTGGCATCCAGTAGCTCCTCACCGTTGATTCTCAAGATGGCGAGTCCTATTTGGAACAGGACTTTCGGTCCCTCGACGAAGAAGACGTCCAGAACTCGGAAAGCGAAAACCAATGGCATCGAATTGATGTATAGTGACAAGAACCAAGGCAGTGATACGACTGAAAGTTGTACGTCGCTCTTTACCAGATGTTCCCACAGGATAGGCATCGTCTTCTCGACTAGTGACTCAAACACTTTTTGGTCCAGCAAGGTTCCGTACATAGTCGTAGAGTAGTATCCTGGTACTAGTCTGTCGCACATGGACGACAGCAGGAAGAAGGCCTGTGTCTCCGACATGTAGATGAGCAATGCCGCCACGACAATGTTCATGGCCTGGCAGTACCCGACATCCGGGTTCACCCAGCTGTAAGCTGTAAGCACACGGCGGAGACGGCCGATGCCCTCTTCGCTCTGGAAACCAGGATACTCTGGCAAGCTTCGATTCAGGTCCTTCTCGATCTCGTCAATAGCGAGGGACTCTTGGCCTTCGTACTTGGCTAGCGTTTCGGCGTACAGCGTCGGGTGCTCGAGTCGGAGGTAGATCGATCCAGACGTCAACTCCCAAGTCTCACCTCTCAATCGATTGGGCAGACCAACGCGGATCAGCTTATGGAAGGTCGGCTGGCGGATAAGCGTCATGTTTCGTCCATTGTCGCGCAAGTACTCGGCCCATAGGCGCATCTTGGCCCTGTCGCGGAGCTTCTTTGGGTCTCCAGGGTAGCGGAAGAGCATGCCCAGGCCAGCGTCGGGCGGGCTCGCATTCTTTTTGTCGTCGGATCGGAGGAGGTACTCGGAGTAGCACTCGCCGGTGACCTTTTTGTATTTGCCAACATTTCCGACGCCGGCCCTCAGTCCCTTCTTCAGACCGTCGCAGAAGCGCTCGCAGCCCTGGCGGGTACCGGCAAGGTGTATCGTGATCCTTTGTTCCCTAACATCCTTCTTATCCTTGTCGGGGACGGGTTCCTTGTCCTTGTCCTTCTTCTCTTGCTGATTGATGCCATTCCAGGTGGTAATCGCCAAGGCAAACTACGTGGTAGAGCAGCATGTCAGTTCATAGCCTTGCGGGGGATGGAGCACGGACTGTTGTCAATGTCACAACCCGGGGTTTGGAGCAACCTTACCTGGAATGTCTGGCTGTTCAACCTCTCTACCCTTCTGATGGCGCATAGGGGAAAAGTGAAGCCGTTTCCACTGGGGCCTCCGCCATGTGTTTGGCCCGTGAAGGCAGAGCTTGTGGAGGTGCTGGCGCCCTGGACGAAACTGGACGGGGTCGTGGAGAAGCACATGTAGCCTTCGGACAGGTGTAGCTTGCCAGCATAGTGGTAGCCTCGATCGTGGTCCTTGCCTCCATATGTGGCATTGGCGGGCGGGATGGTCAACTCGGCATTGATCTCGTACAGCGGCGTCTGGGTACTGGGTAGGCGGAACTGGTTCTGGAACAGCGACGACTTGGATGGGTTCTTGTCCGAGTTGGTCAGATTCAGCCCTTGAGTTGGGTCGACCAACTGCTGTGCCTTCTGCACGAGACTGGATAGAGTGAACATCCTGAAGCTATTGCACTCAGCTGGTCATGTCGGGGAGTGGTATTGCAAGGGGGCCTCGGATCGAAGGACTCGGCTTGGGCCGGATGGATACAGGTTCGCGGGATGCGTGAGGTGAAGTCGGGTCTTGGTCGACGGCTCGCAGACCTGGCAGGGCGAGGGGGTTCGAGCCTAAAACGAGGTGTTGGCTGCCAAAGGAGTGAAGGAAGCTTTGGCGTCACAGCAAGTGGGTGGATGGTTCTTGAAACATCAATACACCACGAGACTGAAAGGCAGTTGTTCGATTCTGTGTTCGGAGAGGGTATGTGTGTGTGGGATTTCGTTGGATGATTTGATGGGGAGAGAAGCAGTAAGCAGCTGCGCGCCAGAGGTCGGGACTGGAGCTGAATGCAATGCAGTGGATAGTTGGAGAGGTTTCCCGCCAAGGATTCCGTCCATGCCCAGAGGGTCAAGGTACGTACCCTCCCGCACTACCTTACCTTTCCTGAGCCCATCTGCCCTATCTGAACTGCTAGTGACCTGCAGCCGTGGCAGCCCACCTGCACCACTCACACCTCACCTCCCACCTCCCTAATGCCTCCCACCTGGGCAACCTTAGGTGCTCGTGAACGGCAGTCGGGCACCTTAGCAACCTGCCTGGCAAGGTGAGAGGCTTGCTACCCCTAATCGGACTGCACGGGAGGCACCTCATACTGGGCGGCATGGGCGGTTCGCAGCCCGGCAGTCCCCTGCAGAGGGGTAACCCCTCCGTTCTGCACCTTATTTGCAACCCGCCTGCCCGGCCATTCTTAGGTCACCGCACTCCACCTCTTCCGTCAGTCTCATTCTCATCTCACCCATTAAACTCACTCGGCTGCTCCCTCTTTTCCCCCTTTACTCACCCAGAGGTCATACACAAACACTCTTTGGCTCGCAACCCCTTGATCTGCCTTTACCTTTTCCGCAGTACGGATATGATGGCATATATCCCACCTTGGACATTCCAATCTGGTCGACCCATTTAGATCAAGTTGATATGATGTCACATGCCTCACTACGGCCCTCACTAAGAGGAAGAGCCTCATCGATCTGTCCGACACACTGTTGAAGCGATGGGCTGTGACTGAAGTGAGATACAGCTGAGATGAGTCTGAGAAAAGGGAATGCATCGCCTGGCCCAGGTAACGTGAGAGTGGCCCATCACCAGAGTGACAATCCATGAGCATGTGTCATGCCCAACTCGGCTAGCTCCTCAAGGAGCTGAGACACCCCCCATGCTGTCATTGTCATGGCCAGGACTTTGATCAGTGCTAGCGGTGGCGCTCTGACAACCCGGACAACCATCGCTGTGGTTTGCTTTTTGTCTTTCGACTTGCTTCTTTCTGATGGCACGGCATCTCGCTCGCATATGGTCACTCACTGGGATAACAGGAAGAGACAACAACCGTTGGTCACGACTGCGATGCCTCATGGATACGAAATCCCTCTTCTATTCCTTGATCGGAGTATCTCCTATCTCCGAAAGACAAGGTTCCAGAGTTCCCGAATTGCCCCCGGTACAGGCTGGCTAATTCTCCAACCGTAATCTAACGCCTTCAAATACCCGAGTGAAATAGGGTAAAAAGAACAATACCCAGCGATGCCTACCTTATCCAGGGTTTGACCAGCAGAATTTCCCTCACACACATATTCCAGACCAAAGCCTAACAGCTTCTTTCCCCATGTCCAAGCTCTGCCTCTCTCGAGCGCCGCTAAAAGGGCCGCTCATTCTCCTGATCCTCGCTACCAAATCTCATGCAGTACAGTTACAGGTTGGAGTATCATAACAAAAAAACATGAAAGAATTACGGAGACCAACTCCTCCGAGTAAAGAACAACTCCGAACGCATGATTCGTACAATGATGGGTCGAAAAGTCTGACAAAGCTTGCATCAAAAGTCCTTGAAGTACTGGTCGTATTTCTGAACCATGTCGTCCGTGTATGGTTCCCTCTTGCCGTCGTCCTCAGGGTAGATGTCAAAGCATTGCGCATCACCGGGGTATCGGATTGGTGGGATGATGGGGCCTCGTACTCGTCGGTGGTACATGTCGTCCCAGTTGACCCCTCGGAAGAAGGGGTGTTCTTTGACCTTGGCTGCTCCCCCGCTAACGTTGCCTAGTCGTCGGGATCGGTCGACAGTGCAGAAGGATCTGATCAGTTCTTGAGCTTCGGCTGATACTGGCGGGTCATGAGGGAACATGACGGGCTTCTCAACAATCCTGCCAAGTTTGTTAGTGGCAGTTGCAAGGAGAAAGAGGGGGCCTGCCGGCTGCCGCAGTGTAACTCACTGCTTGTAGATCTCGATTGGGTTCTGGTGCCAGAATGGAGGGTATCCCGTCAAGAACTCGTATATCAGAATGCCCAGCGCCCACCAGTCCACCGCCGTCGTGTGGCCTTTGTTATGGATCACTTCCGGGGCGAGGTATTCGGGAGTGCCGCAGAGTGTGTAAGTCTCAATGGGCTGGCCTGAGCTATTGCTCAGCCTCTTTGCGAAGCCAAAGTCAACCAACTTAATGTGGCCGTCCCCATCCAGGAGAAGGTTTTCGGGCTTGAGGTCACGATACGCGACACGGCCTTGTTGCTCGTGCAGATACTCCAGCACCAGAACAATCTCTGCAGCGTAGAAGCGCGCCGTCTCCTCCTCGAAGCGCCGGAACTTGCGCAAGTAGCTGAAAAGCTCGCCGCCGGGGACGTAGTCCAGCAGCATGTACAAGTGATCGCGGTCGGCGAAGGAGGAAATAAGATTCGTGATGAAGGGGTGGCCGGCAACATCGCCGAGAATTAGACGTTCGTGACGGACGTGGTCGATCTGCTTCAGCTTGATGACCTCTGTTTTCCGCAGGATCTTCAGCGCGAAAACGGTGTCGCGCTCCTCTTCTGTCGCATTTGCCGGGCGCACAAGACACACTCGAGCAAACGTTCCTGCACGGTTGAAGCTCGTGGTTAGCAAATGGTATTCCGAGACAAGGTAGGTGTAGCGAGACATGGGGGACGGGGCGCAAACGAACCAGTTCCAAGCGTTCTTACAACGCGAAAGTCCTGAGGAGTCAACTTCCGGCTCGCAATAGGTCCGGCTCCAGCATCGGAATGTTGTTGCGCCTGAGCCTGAGCATGGCCATTACTGCTACTGCCTCCGCCCATCATCTTGGACAAGCCTCCGCCAACCTGGTTCGACAGGGGGCTTGCATGCGCAACGGTGGCCGCCATATTATGTATTTTTTTGTTGATGGCTGATATTCCCGTCATAAAGAGTATGAGAGATTCGGTTCGGGTCTGAGGAATTGTTTGGTATTATTATTCGTTCAGCTGGGCAGCACGTCGATCGTCACCATCACGACCCCGAAAGGTTGGTTGAGTCGAATAAGACAGGTCAAGAAAGACCAGTCGTCGCGAAGTTGGGTAGATGGATGAAGAAGGAAGGAAGTAGGTGGTGTTCGTTGCGTCTCGTGAGTGGTCAATGGGAAGGAGCTGTGGTGGTGGAAAGGGGTTCGGTTCGGATCGAGGCTTCGTCTGGTGCTGGGTCTAGGCCCAGGACTGGGGTTGGATATGTGTGGTTCGGAGCTGTAGAACTGGAGCTGGCGAGAAGATAGGCCGCACCGTCTCTTCCCCTGGGGAGACCGACCACTGCTGCCAACAATGGAAGACGAGGTGAAATAGTCGAGAGTAATTCGCTCGCGACGTCTGATATGGGCGAGGGTAGGATATCGATTTTGTCTCGGCCGTGTTCTGTGTCTGTATCTGGATCGCGAAGGTAAGGTATGTGGTGGGAGGAGAGCACGTCTTCCACTCTTTCTCGTTGGTGGTGACCTTTCAGGGAGAAGGAAAACCTTCAGATGAAAGGGCTGTGGCAATGACGAAAGGCAGGCAGAATAGACAGCTACATACGGTAGGAGCATTTATGGGGCAGGCCAGGAAGGAGGGAGGAGGGAGGGGCAGAGCGCGAGTACTTGGTGCTTCAGAGCGTAAGGTATGGCGATTTGCTGCTTCAAATGGCAGGGACCGCTAGGTTGTGATTGCCGGGATGGGATGTGGAACACCACGTTATGGGCAGGCAAGAGGCGTGGGTTCTTGGCTTCTTTGCTACCCGACAACACGGGGGTACCCTCCCACGCCGCCCACTTTCGCTCCTTCCCACTTTGCAACCGCGATACCTCGTGATACTTTTGTCAGGCCTTGTGTACCGTACAGCCCAATGTGAGGTAACATGTATTCGGAGTACCTCCTTCTCTCACCGCGTGGACAAGTACATCGTAGTGTATGTACTTACTGAGGTGCGCAGTAAGGTAGAAGGCCGTGTGGATAGGGACTTGCATTGTGTGGATGGGTCGGTCGCTCCTTCAACATGCATGCACTTGTGACCTCACCAACAGCTGCACTTTGACATGTTTGCCGCCTTTCTCACTCTTTACAGCCTGTCCAATCCCAATCCGCGACTATCATTCGTACACTACCTTAGGTACGTTAGCAACGCTTAGCCACCCGCCCAGATACTGCAGCAGGACGCAGTAGAGAGTCCATAGAGAAACAAGTCTCGACTATGCAGCTTTGCAGCGGGTGCGGCGTGTAATCCAGCGGAACCACCGACATGGTCTTGCCTCTTTGGGAGTAGCCCTGCTGTCCACCCGGTGGAAATCCGGGGACTCACTTTGCTGCCCATGTCTCGACTCGGCCCGCCTCGGCCACACTCTCGCACTCCTCTTCTTCTTCGTCTTCTTCGTCTGCTTCCTCGCCCGACTGTCGATTCCTCGCGTGGACCCCCTACCGACACCTCGCCACGACCATTCCATTCCGTCTGGAACATCCGCCTGGGACCGTCAGCTACGGAGGCTGTCCGTCACCCCCACATGGCACAGCTTCAGCTCTGGGCTCTGGCTGGCACTTAGCTCGCATCACAGCAGTATTACGGGTTAATAATACTCGACCCCTTTCTTCATGGCCCAATCGCCTCTTTTTGCAACATTCGTCAACAGCACCGACCAGCTCTTTCGCTTTGTTCATCACACTGAAATCTGACCCGCCAGTCTCACTTTCTTACTCTCCTGCCGTCTCCCTGCCAGCCCCAGACGAAGAAAGCTCCGCCGCCCCCTGTTGGTCACCTGTACTCAGATTTGCTGATATCAGCTCAGCTATGGGTTAAACTCCCAAGTAGACGCTCATACGCGCTCAATCCGATGTCGTCCACGATTAGACACCCTGACTCCCACATCCGAATAAATCTCCGAAGCCCTGATACGCCCAGGGACTGTGGGCTCTTCCTTCTTCTAGCTTCCAGGGGCCTTTTGGTACATGTCAGATATAGTGTCTTCCGGGGCAACGAGGAGACGTCCATGTCCACCGCTCTAATCCAGAGCCCGAACCACAGCGGACAGTCTCCTGGATTGTATAGGCCAACCTCACCTTTGCCGTATACTCTTCCGTATTTGATCGGTCTCCGTTCTTCCGCTTCTTCCGTAGCGCCCCTACGGCGTTCCGTCGGCCAGAAAATAAGCGGCGGCGATATCGAGCTCAGTCTCCCTCACCATAACACCGTGGCGTAGCAGATGTGGCTGCCACCGCTAAAGAAAGGTGGCTCTGACGGAGCCTCCGGACGTTTGAAGGCCGATGAAAAGACGGTAAAGGCAAAAAAGGAGACCTAGCACTACTGGCAGAGACAGTCTTAGGCTGAAGGCGTCGCTGTTGAATCAACAACCGTTGGCGTTGCTGCTCCCCCCGAGGCTTTCATCGCATCCAAGACATTCAGTTTCGCACAGGGCCGCCTCATGGTCAGTCAGATCTCGCCCAGGCCATGCGGAATCCGGTCCCGCGGGGAGGGAAAGGGCCTGATCAGTGATACACCTTGCATGCAAGCGACTCTTATCGGCGGCTATGACGCAACGTCTCGATCTCATCCCACCTCTCGCCCACACCTCAGCTCGCTCACTGACACTGACTTTTCCCAGCCAACACCCGCTACGACATGCTTTTCGGCTTCGCAATCCGAGCCATTTCTACCACGACCTGGCAAGTCAACCACGTGCTGTGGAAAGCACGGGGAAGCATAGCCGCTGTGTCATGCTCAGCAATACAATAGCCTCTACGGGATTCTAATATCTCGTCATGGCCGAGCTTAAAAACAACACCATGAAATCAATCTCAAGAGAGTTTGTCCGACAGCATGTCAAAATTGACAATTTTGAAGCCTACGAAACCTTGGTATGCCGGCAACCAGTCAACCAGAAACACATCATTGAGATCCTCACCAGCCTTTCGTCAGCGCCATGCGGCTTGGCCTGGGTCTTGCTTCCTTTACGTCCTTTACATGAGTCGCGCCCATGCCTCAGTGCGGCGAGGGCCCGACGGTTATGTCACTTCAGCCCCCAATGAACCGCTGTCTGCTCCTCTCCTCAGTGAAAATTTCTTCCGGTTTGCCAGGTCATCCGGCCGGCAGTTCCTGAAATAAGCACCAATTTCCAGACCCGAATACAGAGATGAAGATGTTCATTGTTGAAGTGGCACGCGCCCCGTTCGCTTCCGAGGATGGCGGCGTTCGTCGCACGCCAGATCTCGATTGTCTGCAGCGGTCTAGTGCGTTTCGAAGAGTCCTTTGACGTTCGGCGTAGGCGTAAGGCTGAGATGAGCCTTCCCATCACACTCGATTAGGGTCTTCGGTCTCACAGTCCTGATCCGGCGATTTATCGGATCAACTGACGCTTTACACGTCGCCCAAACGAACCTCACGTCTGTTGAGAAGCCTGACCTGTTTTGGACTCTGTTCCGTGCGTACTCCCGGCTTCCAAGGTCTTTACTCGAAGCCCAAGTGGATTCCGAGCACAACATTGAACATTGAAGGCTCTTGCGAGTACATGCGCACTCTGCCATGCTGTGGTTATCTTGGCAGAGTCTCGGCCGGGCTGCCGAAAGCGAATGCAACGCCGTACTGAAAGACTGATTCAGCAGGCAGAAATGCATCGTCAAGAACGTGCCATGAGTTACGAGATACCAAGCCAACACAAGTCTTGTTCGAGCCTCACAATCAGGACTTCAAGCCCAATTTGTCTTGAACATAAGTCATTGTCATCCACTTCGAATTCTTTCTCCAACGGATACGGTCGTCGAATTCTTGGACGAGGGCTTGCGCGGAGACGCGCGGTTAAGAAAGGGTCTCCAGCCTGTCAAGATTCGAGAGCAACATCCATCCATGCCTGGAGCTGTTCTTTTCCGTCTTCCATCACCGGGAAGTGACTGTGAATGGACAACCCGGGCCGGACCTCGGAACTCCTTTCTCTTCTTTTTTGTCCTTTCTTGTGTCTTCTGTCCCTTCTCCAGACAAAAGAAACCCTCGTCTCGAGCTGCCCTTTGAACCATTCTCGGGATAACCCTTGCAAGCCCCATCTCAAGTCCCCGGTCTTCGACCCGCGTCCCGGTGGTCTGGGAAACACACACACCCCGTCTCCAACGCCACGACGCCGCTGACGAAGACGAGCGCCTTTCCATTCTGTTGGAAACACTTTGACTCGCGCCTCGTGTCAGCCGGACATGCCATGGCATGGCCCGCTTACCCTCCCTTGCTCCCCCTTGAGATTTAGAGGATGCTGTCGATAAATAGTTCATGCTCAGCAAGAGGAAGCTGACCCTTTCTCTTGGTCTGATTGGCTTATGATCTTGTTGATATAAGATGTTAGAACAAGTCAAGTGTGGCTGAGCCACTGAGATCGGATAGCAGTCAAACGTTGTTCCACGGTGATTCATATACGAGAACCGAGAATCTTGATCGGATCTATAGTCAATTCGAGTTCATGATACGTTGTAACTTATGCTCCGCTCTAAAACCAAAGTCCGCTCGCGGTTCCTTCAACCCCGCCCATCGCTGGGAGCCATCCCCAAATCCTTCGCGTTCAACGTGTACGTACACGAAGCTCCAAACGACGAACAAGGCCAGGGTATATCTTCCAAGCTCCACTACGAATCGCCTCCCTCTATGCCGCATTGTTGGCTCAATAATTCAGCTCAGCGCAGCTCAACTCAGCTCAGCCACCAAATACCTGCGCCCACGGCCAATAGCGTGGCTAGTATCATCGCCCCCTGCTTAGTAGACCACAGGAACATGCTCCAGCCAATAAGGACTTCCTTCCGTCTTGCTGCCGCACGTCGTTCCCAGGCCTCGGGGTCGATGGCTACCGGGAGAACAAGGCGGGGATCCACGGCATTGGACGTTGGGGCTTCCGTCGATGAGCGGGCCAGCTCCTCCTCGGTGAGGAGGGGTACGGCAGCTCTCAGGAAAACGGCTCTGTGATCTGAGCTGCGGACTACGGGCATGGCGTCGTAGATTTTGACGTCGACCTTTTGAGGCTTGGTCTTGACCCACGATGGGACATCCAGGTACAAGATGCGATCTGTCCAGCCGGGGTATCGGTGAGGCGCAAATACCCAAGGCACGTCCTCCACACCATCAACTTTCAGGCGGGTGTCGTCCGCGGGCAGGACGTTGTATTTGTAGGTCGGAGGGAACTTGACTTCTGCCTCGCTCAAGCCGTGCAGCGTGCGTCCTGCCTGGCGTTCTCTCGTGAGTTGATCCAAGGCAAAGAAGCGGGAGTAATGGTGTTCACTGTCGGGGTCGAGGCTGGGAAACGTCGCCATTGGCGGGGGGCTCGTTGTTGAGATGCGATAGTTGAGGTCGCCGCCGACAAAGAGATGGGAGCTTGGCTTGAAGACAGATATCTCTTGCAATCGTTCCTGGAGAGCGAGTGTCTGTGCTTGATGCTCGTCGTGCAACAGGTGCACTGCTTCATCTCTGGCACCGTCGCCAGCTTGACCCTCTCCTTGTGTAGGGGTGATGGGCTTGTTCTTCTTCGGATGCAGGATATCTTCTGGGTTCTCGAATGTCAGGCCACGCATGATGGTTGCCCAGTTGGCATTTCGCCTAGGCAGATTCCACTCCATTGCCGCAAGGTGGGTAGCCACGAAAGTGAGTTCCGTCTCCTTCTTCCCACCTTCGGTCGTCGTGCCCTCATATAGGACTCTGAGCGCCACAGCGCCCTTGTTGCCCATTTCTGCCGCGCCAAAGCCCACCTCCGCCTCTTGCACACGCAGGATCGACTCGGGGTTCCGCGCAAAGAGCATGATGGCCGTCATACCGACATTACGAGTCCGAATCAGGGTGTAAGGTCGCACAGGTGTAGGAGCGGTGGGCTTGACCAGTATCGTCTCGTCGTCGGCTCCATCGTGACTGTCGGCGTCCGAGGTGGGACTTTCGTTGGTGTATCTGGTCGCAGCGAGGTTCAGGGCTTCTTCGAAGCGTGTGAGGTACGGACTGAGAAAGTAGCCGCCAATGAAAGAATACGACAACGGCGCGAATTCTTGTAAGGAGCTGGTAGGAGGGTTTTGGTCAGCTTTGTTGCAAGATCACCCGAAGGAGCGGCAAAACAACTCACAAGACAACAACCTCTGGGAGGGGAGTGGCACTCTGCTTGAAAGCTGTGTGGAGGTTTGATGCAAAGACGTGAGTGTCGATGAAGTTCTTGGCGCAATTGAACGTCAACATAAACAGGTCGAGCGTCGAGGGAGCCATGTTGTCGGCGGGTGCGGTGGAGTTGACGTCGACAAGGGTCGCCATCGAAGCTCTGCCGGAGGTAATAGCCGCCGATGACGATTATCGAGTTGGTGTGCTGGGATTCCTCGGCTAGAGGTGGTCTACCTTGTTAGTCAGCTCTCTAATTACCCCTCCTCTTTCTAAGAGCACGATGGGTTTAGTGATCGATATATCACGAGCTGGGAAGCTTGCGACATAAAGTGATAAAACTGGGTGAATATCGGGAGAGTATGAAGAAGAATTCGGGAAGTAGATGCAGGAGGAGTCGACACAGTTGGCAAGAGCACACGCGACTTAAGACCATTTGACGTTGTCCCTTGTCCGTCCTCACCAAGATGGTTTGGCAGGATCGCCTGAGAAAGTATTAGTTAGGTGGTTGCAAGTGCGGTCAACACTCACTCAGCCACGCGCTAGCTGCCTGGTAGCTGCCCAGTAGCTTTCGAATGGCATTGATCAGAACGAGACAAGCTCACGCCAACTGCACCCCGCTCCCAAGCTTGATTCTTGCCAGAAAATCACAATGAGAGAGAGGCTGTCAGGCTGTCAAATGCCAAAGCTAACTTCATGTGCAAGCTCCAAGGTGAGGATTATGAAGTTGAGGGGAGGGGATAAGAAATTCTTCCGGTTGGGGAACATCCCTGACACCCTCCAACGTCCCAACACCCGCCATGTACTGACCTAAGAGAGTCCAGTACAGCTTTGCAGATGGCAAATATTGGTGTAGGATGGGAAACTTTTATTATGATGCACAACATTACTGAGTACGATGAGAATACGCCGCGATGGTTCGAACATATATATGCGGATATACTTTGCACCTGACGACATCCATTCGGTACTGCTTCTGGCGTTTCATGCAGTCAGCTGGTCGACGTGCCCTACAACATGGAGTCAAGCGAAGCCGCACCTGACCCGTCGAGTCAGCCAGTCTCATGACTTGGAATCTTTCTCACTTTTCAAGTCTCCGTCTTCCGCAGCTACATCATGCTGCGAAATCATGCAGATAGTTATGCCTCTCTACGCATCAAATTCAAGATTGTGCTGCGACAGTATACTATTACTGTAGCATCTACACCGCCATATTCACAAGTTGAAAGAGACGAAAAGTCGCGCGACAATGTTAAATTGAGAAACTACCATGCGTATGTTGGTTGGTTCCGCTGCCCATCGACATGCCCACAACTACCCGTGCTCCGCCTCCACCATATGCAAACTTGCCAGGCCGGTAAAAGCCCGCGGATGATGGAGGCGCAGTGTTGAGAGCCCAAGCACCAGTGTCCTGAGCTCGACTATCCACGTTGGCTGCCAAGACAGACATGCAGACATTGTCGATATCCCAGGACTTTGCTAGTCCGTCCCCTAGAGCCCATGATAGTTGCCAGAGACCGGGTTTGGCGACAAGTCACCCAGCCCTGGTTTCCTCCTCGTGTAATGTCGGAGCAACGAATTCCCAACCAACCGAACCGAACCAAAAGTCAAAGAAAAGATGCCGCACTCTTCCTCATTAATTTTGCAACCGTCGTTCCCTTGCCGTTACTTGTCTTTGCCGACTTGATAGGCGTAGTTCTTGTCAGACAGTGTCGGCAGGCCTGATACTTTGCAAAGTTTCTCTCTCATGATCAACCCCTCACCTAACTACCTCCCCAGAAGCGGGCCTCGACGCGTGATTGACCAAGTGCGAAGCCTCGAATGAAAATCAACTCGTAATGCGCATAATCGAAGGAAAAGTAGGAGAAAAAGAACAGAAAAGAAAAAAAAGGAAAAGTCCGTCGGTGAACGCAACTCCAACGCATCGACCAGGTGCAAGGTACTAAAACCAGGGCACTCAAGTTGGGGGTGGGGGAATGTCTCGCGGGGCGGCCCGACGACGGTGCCTCGCAAAGTTGAGGTACCGGAAGTGCCGTTCGAGTTCTTCCTACCATGGATCTCGAACCATAGAGCATCGGCAGCAAGGTCTACCGGAGCGTCTGTGAAATCGAGAGTCCTGTTATGAAGAATCGAGTCATTCGTAAAATCAACCCAAATATGTCGAAGAACGAAGTTGAGAATGCGTAAGGAGAATGCGACCAGTTCGCGTGGCAAGGCGTATCATCAAAGAGACCCTGCTGGTGAGCAGAACCCGTACCAATCGTGATGTCTGGGAGCCATGCCGTGGAATATATGCAGCCAGTAAGCCGGTCTGGTCATACTCCAACGTGTTGGACAGAAAGCATGTGATCACCGCCGTCGAGGATCACTTCGGCAGAAAGGAACTTGAACCATATGCTGGACTTGCGCCCTTCGTAGACGAGCGCAAACTAGATCATCGTCCACTGGGTCAGCATGTGTTTGTCAGCAACGGGTTCAACAGCCAGGGGTCGATGAGCTGCTTGGGCGGTCAACTTACATTCTATCACTTCCACCGACGGCACGGTTGGTATCTGGGGTGTTTACACCAGCACCAGATCCTCGTTCAATCACTTTGCGGCGCGAGCTGGGAAGGGCGTTAGGCTTATTAGCGCCAGGCTGAGGGGTCGGCTGACCAGCAGTAGCGGCGTTCGTGCGAGATGCCCGCGCCTTTTCATCCTCCTCCTGAGTGGCTCCTGCAGCCTGAGCAATCGCCTGAGCATTCTTCTGGTACTTGTAGACGGTCCAGTCGAAGACGTAGTCGTACTGGAAGCCCTCGCGGACGAAAAGATCACGGAAGATCTTGCGGAGGTAGCTGTAATCGGGCTTGTCGTCGAATCGGAGGGATCGGGTGTAGTTGAGGTAGATGGCGAATTCGTTGGGGAAGCCGCGGCAAAGGACCTCGGTCGGGGTGGTCATCTTCTTCTCCATGATGCGGTCGTATTTCTGCTTCTTGGTAGCAGCCTTAAGTCCCTGCCAGGGAAGAGATCCACGGCAGAAGTAGAGCATGACGTAACCAAGGGACTCCATGTCGTCACGGCGAGATTGCTCTGTGAAGCTGTCAGTGGCCAGGAGGAAACGGAAAGGGGTTTGAGGGCGTGGAATGATAACATACCGACACCCAAGTGGGTGTTGATGGAAGCATAACGGGCGGTTCCGGTAAGGTTCTTGTTCTCTCTGTAAGGGATGTGGAAGTGCGTCTTGGGGTCACGGTACTTCTTGGCCAAACCAAAGTCGATAACGTTGACCTGGTTGCCACGCTTACCAATACCCATGAGGAAGTTGTCGGGCTTGATATCACGGTGAATGAAAGACTTGGCGTGGATGTACTCGATGCGAGAGATCAGCTGATCAGCGAGAAGCAGCACAGTCTTGAGGGAGAATTTGCGGTTGCAGAAGTTGAAGAGATCC